CTCTCTCTCTCTCTCTCTCTCTCTCTCTCTCTTTCTGTACTGGCAATTGAACTCAGGACCTTGTGCTTGCAAGGCAGGCGGTGGAACCACTGAGTTTAATCCCCAGCCCCATAATCATCTCTTAAAGGTCCTACCCCTTAATACTGTTAAAATGGCAGTGAGGTTGCAGCATGAGTCTTGGAGGGGACATTCAGAGCACAGCACAGGACCCTCCTAGAAAGGGGCTTCTTTTTCAGGCTGACTTGTGTTGTGTGGGATGGAGTCCATAGCACCCTCTTCTGTGCTGTAGCCCTCTACAGGCCTGAGTTCTGGGGTCTGAGCCCCTTGAGGAGAAAGATGGAGCTGCCTCAGTGGCAGGGAGAAGGCAGCTTGGGATTGGGGAAGAGATATTTGGCTGTCAGGTTGGGACTGGTTGAATTTGCAGGGTTTACAGGGATGTTTGTAGACATCTGAGTGTGGTGACCCTGGATAACTGCTGAGAGGAGGGGATGTGCTTCCCTTTGCTCGGGAGCATGCCAGGCAGCAGTGACACCTCTGATGCTGAATGCCCTTAGTGATGAGGAGCTCAGCACTATAGACAATGCACAGGTTCTGAGACAGGGCCAGGTCCTTCTGTGAAGCCAGAAGTCTTTCATCTTAGCTGTTAAATGGGAACAGTGTCATCTTCTGCTCATATGGGAGGCAGAGGAGCATCTGGAGCCAGCCTATCCAGGCGCATGGCACTCCATCCTAGCCTGGTGACCTAGTGACCTAGTGATCTGTGCCTCAGTTTCCTCATCTGTTACATGGCAGTACTGTTCTGAGTTTCATGTGAGGATTACATAGCTGCCATGTGCCATGTGTGCTGAGAACCCCCCAGGAGCTGCCAGAGGAGAGGCTGTGGCCGTTCTGTCTACTGATGCCTTCATTTCTCCTCTTGCTGTCTCGTGGTCCTGCAGGTGTGGGGGCCACCCCCTTTGAGGACAGCCCAGGTGGACCGGCCTGGCTGCATAGCTGAGTGACTTAGCTCAGCACCCCCAGGGCTGGGAAAGGGCTGGGAGGGGCTGAGGCAGCCCTGGGGCTGACTGGGTGGGCTGCCTGGGCCTGTTTTGTCACCTTCGGTTAGGCCAGCCCTGTGGAGGCACGCCTTTCACTGCCCTCTTGCACAGGGTGGGGGCATATTTGGGGCTAAGCATTTTGGAGGCTGCATGCCACTCAGGACTCAAGGTAACCCCAGTCCTACTCTGCTGGTTCAATGGGCAATGTGAGACCTTCAAAGAGACTCAGACTGTTGGGCTGAGACCCGTGGCCTCATGACACCTGATGAGTATGTGTGGAACTGTGGTCCAGTGTTATGCATTCCCTTTGTAGACCCAAATATTTTTATTTTGTATATGGAAAAAAAATTGTGTTTTGGTGCTGTGGGATCAAACCCAAGGCATCATGCATGTTAGTCAAGCTCTCTGCCACAGAGCCGCATCCCCAACCAAACAAATGTTTTTGGGAACAGGCCACAGGCTTCTCACCTGCAAAAGAGGTCCAGCAAAAAGTCTTGACCCTATTCTCCATCTCATGGCTTGCAGGGCCAAGTCCTGAGGGACAATGAGTCCCAGGGCAGACCCACGAAGAGGGGCCCAATATGGAGCTTGGCCAGCTGCAGATGGCAGTGGTGTTGCAACAGGATGGGAGAACAGGAGAAGACCTCCTTCCCTAGGCACCTGTGTCCACCCCATATGTAAGCTTGTTGAGTTTGCCCCACACCCCAGTGCAGGGCTGTGCTGTCTCCCTATGAGGGAGCTGGCTCCAGGAGGGGCAGAGTGCAGGGCTCCACTGCAGTGAAAAAGCAAATCATCTTTTAAAATAGTAAGCGCAGGGGTTAGAAATGTTGCTCAGTGAGAGATCTCACGCTTAGCATCTGAAATGCTTGGATTCAATCCCCAGCACCACAAGAAAGCAGCAATAACAAAACAGGATTTATAGTTGACCTTCAATATCTTCACAGGATTAGTCCTAGGACCCTCACATATACCCAAATCTAAGAATGCTCCAGGCCCTTATACAAAATGGTATAGTATTTTCATAACATCTTTGCATATCTTGCTCTGTGTATATAATACACACACACACACACACACACACACACACACACACATACACACACATTTAGCTCACTGTAGTTCAGGATAGTCTTGAACTCACCATGTAGCTCAGGCTAGCCTTGAACTCTTGAACTTTTGGCAATCCTGCCTCAGTCTCCTGAGTGCTGGGATTACAACTGTGTACCACTATACCTGGTGCTTTTTATTTTATTTATTTACTTTTGAGACTGGGTCTCACTAGAGTTCAGGCTGGCCTGAACTCACTATGTATCACATGCTGGCCTTGAACTCAGAGATCCTTCTGTTTCAGCCTCCTGAATGCTGGGATCACAGGTGTGTGCCACCATGCCCAGCCTGGATCATATATTTTAAACCATCTCTAGGTTACTTTTTTTTTTGTTTTTTTGAGATAGGGTCTCACTATGTAGTTGAGACTGACCTGGAACTCACTATGAAGCCCAGGCTGGTCTCGAACTCCCAGCAATCCTCCTGCCTCAGCCTCCCAAGTGCTTGATTACAGGCATGCGCCACCACGCCCAGCTCTCTAGGCTACTTTTAATAGCTGATATAATATAAATGTTACTGTTATATAAGTAGTTATTATAATGTATCATTTATGGAATAATAAGGAAGTCTATACATGTCCAGAAGAGACACATGTTTTTCCTGTGAATATTTTCAATCTGTGCTTGGCTGAATCAGAGGATGTGGAAGGCCAACTGTCCTGAAACAAAGTAATTGGTATAATAGTATAGATCAGCCTCGCTCCAGGGGCTTCTCTTTCCAGGCTCTTTGCACAAGGGAAGATGGTGAGGGAGGGCAGGACAGGGTGAAAGGGGAGCAGAAAGGGAGATAGATATAGGCTGGGGCAGCTGAACAGGGAAGGGATGCAGAGCCTAGGTTAACAAGTGACGTCAACTCTCAGGCATTTGAGTGGCAGGACCAAGGTCTCTGGAACTTGCTAAATCAAAGTGACCTAACAGCCTGGGCACCCCCAGCGGTGGAGCAGGGTGAACGTGGAGCCCGGGGGGAGGGACCAGACAGAGCAAAGGCTGTGAACTGTGTGGCCCAGAGAATGGTCTACTGTGCTTGGAGGGTGGGGATGGCTGGGTCTGAGGTTGAAGGAAGGACAAACTGAGCCCCTCCCCACTGTGGTTGGTAGGAGGTTGCGTCTGCGTTCTGATAGGTGAAGCTCCCTGATGGCCAGGAGGGCAGAGAGCAGAGGCAGTGAGTTCAGATGTGGGGCAGGCTGTGGCGCAGCAAGTCAGAATGTCAGCCAGACTCAGCCACCACCTTGATAGGCAGTGGCTCCAAGAGGTGGAATCACAGGAGCTCTGATTTCCAGCCTTGGTAGGCAGAGGGACTCTAGAAGGAGAAGGTGAAGGTGTTTCTTAGGGCATTAAGTGTGAGGATTTTATGGACCACAGAGGACTCTACATATTCTCATCTAGATCCCCAAGTCTCTTAAGATTTCCAAGGACAGTGAAAGTGGGGCTTATGATGAAGTTGGATCTGGATACTGTGGGCACTCAAGAGAGACCTGAAGTGGACACGCGTGCTTGGCAGTTTCTAAGTGACAAGCACTGAGGGGAGGGAGGTGATTGGCAGGGGCCTGGGGCTCTTTCTCTATTGGCAGAGGAGAGGCTGGTGAGAAATGTTTCAAGACATAGGTCAGAGAGGTCAAGGGTCAGGTGGTCATCCTGGGAAGCTGTGGTTTGGGATTCGGACTCAGATCATGATGGCCTGGCAGTCAGGGACAGGGCAGGCGTCTCTCCTGCAGGGTGATACTCTTATGGGTCCAGCAGGCAGCTCTGAAGCTGTGCTTCTGTCCTTGAAGTTGTTCTTCAAAGTTGTTGGGTCCTTCTGGTCTGGGAGAGTCCCTGCCTCAGAGGCTTTCCCAGGCTGAAGCATCTAGCCAGCCTGTTAGGAGCCCAGCTGGAGCCTGCCCTGGGTCCCTGCCCTGCTGTTTTGCTCCAGCCCTGGCCGGTCTGGTGAGTGTGCTCTCAGGCCAGCTGTGAGAAGATCTGTCCTTCTTCTCATTTCACACTGGAGGAAACAGATCCGAAGATTCTTTTTTTTTTTCTGGTACTGGGGATGGAATTTAGGACTTTGCGCTTGTGAGGCAGGTGGTGGCACCACTGAGCTAAATCCCTGGCCCCCACAGATTCTTGTCTCACACCTCAGAGGCTGAATCCAAGGCCAGCGCTCACTCTACAACAAATGAGCCATGAAGGAGGGAGTGAGGGGAGTGCTTAACCTGGCTTGCTAGAGTGTGCTCAGAGACCCCAGCCCTGGGTCGGTCTTTCAAGCTGGCCTTTAGACTCCTATCTAACTCAAGTCCATAGTGGGTCCAGCTGAGAAAAGAAGAGAGGAAGAGGAGTATGTCGTACTGAGGGATGGGCTCACACAATAATCCCTCCTCCCACGATGGAGAGCAAGCCCCTAGCCCAGTACCTGTGGCCTCTGGCAGATAACAGCCCTGGTCTGCCTTTGGAGCCCTCTGGGAAACAGAGAGGTTTACAGTTCCGTCCTTTGCTCCCAGGGTCCAGGAGCAAGTCCACCCTATAGCTCAATAGTCATCAGAAGAGGGGTGTGGCAGGGGGCTCTGCTGACCTCCAACCAAATGCCAGCCCCACACTTATCCTCCCTGGCCTGGGTGAAAACTTCTGGCTGCTCTGGCAGCCCATCTCCCACAGAATGAGGGAGAAAGCTTTGCTAAATCTTTGCTGGGGTGGGTGGCTGATTACCTGGAACCCCCACAGGTTCTCTTTGTTTTAAAAGAGAGTGATTGTTAACCAGAATGGTTTTCTTTTACTCAAAATTTAGGCAGGATATAGAAAAAAAGTGTGTTTTATTTGTGGGAGGGACCGTGGTAATAACTAGGCTGATTCTCCCTCCTCGGCTTCCACAGGGATGTGGGTTAGAGATAGAGAATCTGTCTTACACTACCCTGTGTTCCAAGGTATTGCTTGGCCTGGGGTGGGGGCACAGAGTTGTGGGAGGACAGGGCTTAGAGCATCCCTCAGCAGCAAAAGCACCTGGGGAGGATCAAGGGAGAGCAGGGTGAGGCTGTGGGGAAGAAGAGGCCATGGGGAGAGCAGGGCTTCAGAGCTGGAAAAGTGATTAGCAGCTCTGATGAGTTTGAAGTCAGGCCTGGCAGCCCCAGGGTAGCAGGAGAGGAAAAAAAGAGCTGGGTTTCGGAGGTGAACAAAAATGGCTGCGAAGCTCAGGACAGATCACAGGGGCACAGGCAGGTCCCTGAGCCCTTAAAGTAGGATTGCATAAAACATTGGGAGCCCATGTCTTGTATCTTGCACCTTCTGCAGGGGAGTGGTGGTGGCGGATGGAGGTCCCCACCCTCCCAGGGCAGTAGACAGGCTGTTTGATCAGTGAGTGTGTAAATTGGGATTTTATGGATCGCTTAGTCACTGCTGGAGCTGGGGCTCCCAAATTCCTCTGCCCCAGAGTGCTTAATCTAGTCCTGAGCTTCCTCCTGGGAGGCAGAGGGAAGGACTGCTCCCCACAGGCCCCACCCCTCCTGCTGCTGCTCTGAGGCCCCAGGCTTTGTTGGTTGCAGGTTGAGCCGTTCAAATGTGCTAATACACTCCATGGGGCTGCTGGACAGTGGGACTTACCCTTCAGTGCTGTGGTTGGCCAGAGAGGCCATGGGAAGGGGCTCCCAGCAGCAGTTGGGAGTGCGTGTTGTGTGCTCGCATGCATGCAGACATGCAAGTGTGCCTGCCTGTGGGGAGGGGTTTTGGGGTGTCCACCCTGCTCAGTCCATTGGGAAGAGACAAAGGATCTTCGTGCATCTCAGAACAAGCCATGTTTCTACCTGGTCAAGCTGGTTAGGGAGCTCACCTGTTGTCCTTTACATCCTGACATGGCAGGGCTTGGTGAATATGTGTTGAATGAATGGGTGGGTGAGTGACCACATGAGCGATTGCGTTTGCACTGGGGTTAAATCTGCTGGAGTAACCCAGCACCTACAGATTCCCAAATGTCCTCCTAAATTGCCCAGTAACTCTCCCTCCCTTTACTGAGCTTTGCTTTAGCCTAGGTCTGCCTGGCTAGACATCAAGACCGTACATGAAGGAGTGTCCAGGCCTCAGGGGACACAGCTGTGACCCCCGGACTCTCTTATCGCTTGAGAGTGCTTTCACTGTGTTCACATTTCCCTTCTCTGCTGGTCCCCATCTGTCTTTGGGATTTGATGAGGATGAGGATGGTAGCCAGGTTGGGGGAGGGGTGTTGAGCAGTGGATGGGGGAGGGAAACAGGACAGCCAGATGACAAACTGCCCTGTCCTACCTTCCTCTCCTGCTCTCCAGGCTGGTCTGGGGGAGGGGGTTGGCCCAGAATGCCACACTCTCTCCTGTTTTAGGGGAAGCTGGGGTCCAGTGTAGCTGTAAAACTACCTGGGGAGCCTCAGGAAGGAAGTGTAAATCCTGAGAAACTCCTCCTGAGGTCCTGGAAGATCTAGACAAAGCTAGGATTGCAGTAGGTGATATGTCAGGAACCTTCCTGGGTGCAGAGCCAAGCTCTTGCTGGGATCAGAGCTGCCTTGTCCAACCAAACTTTCTGTGTGATGGAAATGATCTATGTTGCTACGACTGCACAGGACCATCAAGCAGCGT